GAAAAAGTTCAGGCTATTCTTAAGGAACTGCAACCACAAGATGTGTCACAATTATGCTTCTTTCTTGGGATGGTCAGTTATTACCATGGGTTCCTACCTAGCTTGATGTCAGGTCTCACAGATCTCGAACCTGGGGCCATAGGGAATCCTGGGAATCTTCACGCTCCAATTCTCCACCTAGCAGTTCATGGACAGCAGCTGGGACCGAAGTCCAGGAAGCCTAACTGAGGCCTAAGCCCCGTCCTTACCCTTTGATTGGTAGAGATCCAAGGCTCCTGATTGGGCTGCAATCCTATTTAAGCCAGAGGAGGAAACAGGAAGTTGTCTGTACAACTGGGCTTCACCTTGCCATGGACTTCTAGTCTGATGCTTACCTGTTCCTGCCATCTGACCCTGACCTATTGCTATCCTGACTCAGCCTGACCCTAGTTCCTGCTCTTTGGTTTTGTCACCTGATCCTAACTTCCTGGTATCCTTACTTGGCTTCACTCTTGGTAAAAGCCTCCTGGTTGCTGCACTCTGGCTTTATCACCAGATCCTAACCTCCTTGTATCCTGACTTGACCTGAGTCTTGGTGACTAACTCTCAATCCCTGCCCTTTGCTTAGTCTCTTGATTCTGATCTCTGGGCTTTCCGCCCGGCCTGATTCCTGGTAACTGGCCCCTCAGCCCATGCCTGACACTATCCTCTAGGCCAGGCTGCCTACACCCTTGCCCTGACATATAGCACCAGTATTACTGTGGCGTAAACACCCTGGATTCACACCCTCCACACTACTGCAATAATCGTTGTACAAACTATGACTTATGGGGTATCATCTGAAAACTAATAACTTGCTGGTCAATAATATCATGGTGAAATCTATGTAGCAACATTATATGTGAAGTTATGAAGTCCCCCTCTAGGATGTTGTTAGCACATGTTCAAACCCACACAGTCCTGACTAGGCAAAAGTTGTTAAACAGGTCTATCCTAAACAAAGGAATATATGTTTACCTCAATTTATGTATAAGAAGTAAACAGGGTCCCTGAGGCAGCAAGAGGTGGAAATGGCAGGAGACAACACAAATCAGCATTTCAGCATACATTGGGGAGAAGAAAGAGCATGGAGCCACCTTTACCACCAGACTCCATGTTGCCTTCTTTACTGTTTGAATAAACTTTGCTTTCAGGGGTAATCCTCAGAAGAATCTACTTCAAAGGGTGCCCGGACTATAAAAGTGAGGGGCAAAATCACTCCAAGACACCTCTCCCTACCTCTCAAAGAATCATAGAAGATTAGGGTCGGAAGAGACCTCAGGAGGTCACCTAGTCCAACCCCTGGCTTAAAGTAGGACCAACCCCAACTAAATCATCCCAGCCAGGGCTTTGTCAAGCCGGGCCTTACAAACCTGTAAGGATGGAGATTCCACCACCTCCCGAGATAACCCATTCCAGTGTTTTACCACTCTCCTACTGAAGTAGTTTTTCCTGATATCCAACCTAGACATCCCCCACTGCAACTTGAGACCACTGCTCCTTGTTTTGTCATCTGCCACCACTGAGAACAGTCTAGCTCCATCCTCTTTGGAACCCCCTTTCAGGCAGTTGAAGGCTGCTATCAAATCCCCCCTCACTCTTCTCTTCTGCAGACTAAAGGAACCCCAGTTCCCTCAGCCTCTCCTCGTAAGTGATGTGCCCCAGCCCCCTAATAATTTTTGCTGCCCTCCGCTGGACTCTCTCCAATTTGTCCACATTCTTTCTGTAGTGGGAGGCCCAAAACTGGATGCAATACTCCAGATGTGGCCTCACCAGTGCTGAATAGAGGTGAATAATCACTTCCCTCGATCTGTTGGCAATGCTCCTACTAATGCAGCCCAATATGCCATTAGCCTTCTTGGCAACAAGGGCACACTGCTGACTCCTATCCAGCTTCTCGTCCACTTTTCTGCCGAACTGCCGCTTAGCCAGTCCATCCCCTCATCCAGATCATTAATGAAGAGGTTGAACAAAACTGGCCCCAGGACCGCCCCCTGGGGCACTCCGCTTGATACTGGCTGCCAACTAGACAGTGAGCCATTGATCACTACCCATTGAGTCTGACAATCTAGCCAGATTTCTATCCACCTTATAGTCCATTATTCCAATCCGTACTTCTTTCACTTGCTGAAAAGAATACTGTGGGAGACCGTACCAAAAGCTTTGCTAAAGTCAAGGTATATCATGTCCACCTCTTTCCCCATATCCACGGAGCCAGTTATCTCATCATAGAAGGCAACCAGGTTGGTCAGACATGACTTGCCCTTGGTGAATCCATGTTGACTGTTCCTGATCACCTTCCTCTCCTCCAAGTGCTTCAAAATGGATTCCTTGAGGACCTGATCCATGATTTTTTCAGGGACTGAGGTCAGGCTGACTGGTCTGTAGGTCTCTGGATTCTCCTTCTTCCCTTTTTTAAAGATGGGCACTATATTTACCTTTTTCCTATCGTCCAGGACCTCACCCGATCGCCACGAGTTTTCAAAGATAATGGCCAATGGCTCTGCAATCACATCAGGCAACTCCCTCAGCACCTTCAGATGCATTGCATCCGGCCCCATGGACTTATGTACGTCCAGCTTTTCTAAATAGTCCTTAACCTGTTCCTTCACCACTGAGGGCTGCTCACCTCCTCCCCATACTGTGTTGCCCAGTGCAGCAGTCTGGGAGCTGACCTTGTCTGTGAAGACCGAGGCAAAAAAAAACATTGAGTACTTCAGCTTTTTCCACATCATGTCACTCGGTTGCCTCCACCATTCAGTAAGGGTCCCACACTTTCCCTGACCACCTTCTTGTTGCTAACATACCTGTAGAAACCGTTCTTGTTATCCTTCACATCCCTTGCTAGCTGCAACTCCAATTGTGCTTTGGCCTTCCTGATTAAAACCCCTGCATGCTCAAGCAATATTTTTATACTCCTCCCTAGTCATCTGTGCAAGTTTCCACTTCTTGTAAGCTTCCTTTTTATGTTTAAGCTCACTGAAGATTTCTCTGCTAAGCCAAACTGGTTGCCTGCCATATTTGCTATTCTGTCTCTCTCTCCCTCTTTCACCTAAGAAGACAAAGGAACCAGCCCTTTGACTTTGAGGGAGATCCTGATCTGATAATTTGGTCAGCACAGTTGCTGGGAACTTGTGGTGAGGATTTTACCTTGAACCAAGTCTAGCTTATTAAGTTTTAGCTACTAGAAAGCGTTTAATCTTTATTTCTCTTGTAACCATTTTGGACTTTAATACCTGATACTTTTACTCATTAAAAATTTCTTTGTAGTTAAATAAATTTGTTCTATTTTTAAATCAGATATAATCCCATGTTGTGTTTAAACTGAACTGTTTAGTAACTCCAATTAAAGGAGCAAACTGTTGACTATTGACCCCCTTGTAGGCGCAATGGACCTCTAATACCTCAGCTACCTAGGAGAGGGCTGGACAGTGCAGAACACATGTTTTGGGGACTGGGAGTGTGTTGGGGGGTCCCCCTACAAGTAGTAACCAAGGCTTGTGGAAGCCAGAATGCGGCTGGATTGTTGCTGACAGGATACTGCGTTCCTGGACGAGGGCTGCAGCTATACACAGACACTCAGGGGGTGACTGGCATGCTGTTAGGCTGTTTGTGAGCGGCCCAGGTTGGGAACTATCACAACAAAGCACTGTGAGGCACCCAATGTTGCAGGGCAGGCAGTGATACAACCCCTCAATGGTCTGGATTGTACCCCGGAATGTGACAGTTACATTCTTGAATGACCTGTTACACAATGGACAGAAACGGTGTTGATCCTGAGAGTGCACCAAGGTTTTTGAGGAGGCCAAGAAATGTGTATCATCTAGATACACCTTATACACTAAATGCATCTTGCTTATCAAGTTATCTTGTGACGCTTCCCCATATGGAACAGGCACAGTAGCTTCGCATGGGATGGAAGATCATACTGAAAGGCCTGATGCCTTTGCTTCTAGATCTTACCTTGGCAGAACGTATCTATTCCCACATTGACAGAGTTTAGTGTGGGGAGTTAACTTTCACCAGTATCTGCATGGGAAATGATTTACTCTGGTTACAGAACATCCACTGATAGTTTCCACTTTTAACTCAAAGAAAGGAGTCCTGGGAGATGCGTGATATTCTTGGGCACTCACTATTATGATACTGAGTTCAAAAATACCAGTCAACATGGGACTGCAGATTGTGTTTTACACCTCCAATTGGAAGCCAAAAGTAGGCAACTGAAGTGGAACCAGAGATAGTTGATATGTTCAATATGGCACACACTGAACCCTTGCCAGAGATAAATACCCATGGTACAAGGCAAAGCTAAAGATGATCCAGTGCTAGCTAAAGTTTCTGACATTAGGATGCGAGGATGAAATCTTGCACATAATCAACTGTTTCCAGCTTTCTTTGCTCCACAAGAACAGTTAAGCATATACCAAGGCCTCTTTGAATGCAGCCCATGCTACTGGAAATCAGCAATGTTGGTCACTTAATTTAAAGTCTTGCCTGGACATGTTAAAGCCTAATCTACACAGGGACAGTCGAAAGAACAGTGATCAAATGGCCACAGACAGTCACACTTGACTGTGCTGTTTTCATGGGGGAGAAAGCCTGCGATTATTCATGGAAAGCTGGAGTGATTACTTCACAGACTGATCTTATGTCTTACTGCATAGAAGTAACACTGAACCGATCATGGAGAAGACGTAACAAGCTTCCTCCCACATGAAAACTGTGTAGTCCAGGCAAGACCTTAAGTTACATCCCATAGATACCAGCAATGGTATCTGACTTTTAGTAGCATGCACTGTATTTCTACAGGCCACTAGGATATTTATATCCTCCCACTTCCTAGCTTGAGAAAGGCAGGAAAGTCTATGTGTTTTGTATTACTTTGAGCCTTTTGCATCTTTTGTTTAATAAAACCCACCTTGAGGAAAGGGACATGGAACTTGACCAACATGTGTGGACTTTATTTGAACTGCCTGGACATTGGCTTACATGTGTATCTCTGTATTCATCATTTTAGACATGTATTCAGCGACACCCACCCAAAGTTATCCCAGCATGGCTGAGTTCAGCTCATATTGCCTAGCATATGTACCATTAAGCTTCTTATCCAATTGGTAACTGAGTAAATGGATTTTAAAAAGTTGTCAGGCTCTGTGGGATAAGAATTCCCTGTAATGACCTTCAGAGAGTTTAAATGACATGTAGAATTAATTGGAACAGTTCTGATGAGGGGACAGATATTCTTCCATTACATAGCCTTCCATGCAAACTTAAATCCTTGTGTCTATTATGTTACCAACTAAGGCTTGCCAGATGTGACTTCAACTACTTCAGAGCACAGGACATTTACATATTGAAGTTGGAGCATACCTGTAATAACAGAGGGTAATACTGTGTGCATGTAAAAAATATTTTTCATTTGTACAGATAGCTTTTGCCTTAACTCACTTCAAGAGAGGAGTTGACCTCTGCACAGACCCTTGTATAAATTCTCGTTGTCGATCTCTTGAGGTCAGGGATGATCTTTTTCACAGGTTTTATTTTTCATGGGTCCTTTGGTGACTGAGGAGTCTGATCCTGAAGCCACAGGCTCGTTGGCGGACGTTGCAGATGGTGTTGGAAGACAGGGTTGGGCCGCGATTGCTGAGTGACAGTTGTCTTTCCTTTCTTTTCTGGCATTTTTCTGTGACCAGGGCAAGGTGATTTTCCTCACCTTGCCCTGGACGTTCCCTCTCTGACAAGTCTTCACCAGTTATCCCTAGCCTGGGCTGCAGTCTCCCAGTGTGTGGTGTCAATGCCACATCTCTTGATGTTTATCTTGAAGCTGTCTTTAAAGCATTTCTTTTGGCCTCCCCGTTTCCTTTCTCCTTTGGTAAGTTGGGCGTACAGCAGTTGTTTTTGTATAAATTCTAAGGGCTTGTCCAATACAGCCCTCCCAGCCACAATAACAATCTATCTACCATGGAAGAGTGAAGGACAGTCTGTGGTTCAAATCAGCAAGCAATCTATTTTTTTTAAACACAGCTTGATGCTTAGACCACTAGGTCATATGCCAAGTTATATAACACGTATATGCAACCATTTCTGTGATACACTTGGAATAGTACAGAGTGGTAGAATAGATTCCAAAAAATTTAGCGCCATGATCTTGTTTAATGGCAATTTACAGCGAAGGGAGTTATTCTGTGTGCAGATGACAAATACACTTGTAGTCTGAAAACCAAAACACAGTATAGACAGACTGCAGAACTGGAATTTGAAATTCATGGCGTATTGGAAATCCCATCAGAGCCCTGATACTATGTCTAAAAGCATTACCCATTTGATAAGCCATTTGCACACCCTGTATTACTGCTATGATTACTGATGTTTGCTTGCCAGGTTTTTTGCATGCTTGCAGATATTCAGTCATCCCTTGGCTTGTCGAAGGCATTGCGTTATACAGGTCACTGAAAAAAGATCAATGACTGAATTAAAACTACACATTGTGCAGAATAAAAACTTATAGTCAGTCAAGATTCAATAAAATACTAAGCAATATCTGACTAGAATTGTGTCAGTCTGGGAAGAACTGTTTCTTGGCGTTAGTGACAGACTGATATTTAGTAAAATAATACTTTACCTTTAAAGAACTTTTCACCCAAGAATCTCAGTGTTTTACACACATATTCACTGACTCACACAACAACCCTGATGAGATAGGTGAACATCATTAACTCCATTTCACAGCTGAGAAACCTGACACACAGAGAGGTTAATTAACATGTCCTGATTCACACAAGTCAATAGCAAAACTGGGAAGAAAACAGAAGTTCCATCAGCAAGTTCCTTGCTGTAACCACTAGAGCATATTTGTATCGCGTCCACACCCTTGAAAAGTTCTGTAGAAGGCATTCTGAAGTACCTCATTTGTTTTGATTCGGCATATACAACTATTAGGACAAGAATTCTGTTTACCAAGGTGTAATCTCTCAGCAAATACATACTTTAAGGCATAAAATAAACCCAATAAAGGATACTTTTATTATAAATAGTTCCACCCACCCAGGTGCCCCTTTTTCTTGACTAAAGAAAATATAAAAATTAAATCTTCTCTTCGCAATAATTTATAATTGTGGGTATTAAAATAGAAAATGGATCTATAACTAGCTATAGACAATACTGTATTCCAAATAGAATCATAGACATGTAGGGCTGGAAGGACTTTGAGAAGTCATAGGCTCTGACTCCATGGGTGTTCTGGGGCTGGAGCACCCATGGGGAAAAATTGGTGGGTGCTCTGCACCCACCCGCAGCCAAGGTCCCCCCCCCACACACCCCAGCTTATCTCACCTCCGCCTCCTCCCCCGAGTGCACCGTGTCCCCGCGTCTCCTCCCAGCACTTGCCACCGCAAAACAGCTGTTTTGTGGTGTAACAAGCTATGGGAGGGAGGAGCGGTAACACGGTGCGCTCAGGGGAAGAGGCAGGGAAGAGGTGGGGCAGGGGTGGGGATTTGGGGAAGGAGTCCAATAGGGGCAGGGAGGGGGTGGAGTTGGGGCGGAGACTTTAGGGAAGGGGTCGGAATGGGGGCAGGGTAGGGTGGAGTCAGGGCGGGGGTCGAGCACCCACCAGCACCAGGAGAAGTTGGCGCCTATGCGAGAAGTCATCAAATACTGTGCTGTGGCAGGACCAATAAACCTAGACCATCCCTGACAGGTGTTTTCCAACCTGTTTTTAAAAGGCTTCAATGATGGGGATTCCACAACCTCCCTTAGAAGCCTATTCCAGAGCTGAACTACCCTTGTAGTTAGATATTAGGAAAATTTTTCTAACAAATCTTCCTTGCGGCAGATTAAAACCATTACTTCTTGTCCTACCTTCAGTGAACATTTGATCACCAGCCCTTAGTGATCACCTTTATACCAGCCCTTAACATATTTGAAGACTATTACCAGGGTCCCCTCAATCTTCTTTTCTCAAGACTAAACATGCCCAGTTTTTTTAACCTTTCCTCATAGGTCAGGCTTTCTAAACCTTGTATCATTTTTGTTGCTATCCTCTAGATATATCCAGTTTGTTTGCATCTTTCCTAAAATGTGGCATCCAGAACTGAACACAATACTCCACCTGTGCCAAGTGGAGCAGGACAATTTTGTTTTACATGAACACTCCAGTTAATACACCTCAGAATGATATTAGCCTTTTTTGCAGCTGCATCACATTGTTGCCGCAGATTCAATTTGTGAACCACTATAACCCCCAGCTCCTTTTCATCAGTACTACCACCTAGCCAGTTCTTCCCATTTTGTGGTTGTGTATTTGATTTTTCCTTCCTAAGTGAAGTAATTTGCACTTACAGTAGAACCTCAGAGTTACAAACACCAGAGTTACAAACTGACTAGTCAACCACACGCCGCATTTGGAAACGAAGTATGCAATCAGGCAGCAACAGAGAAGAAAATAAATAAAGCCAATACAATACAGCACTGTGCTAAACAGAAACTAACAAAACAAAGGGAAAGGAGCATTTTTCTTCTGCACAGTAAAGTTTCAAAGCTGTATTAAGTCAATGTTCAGTTGTAAACTTTTGAAAGAACCACCACAACATTTTGTTCAGAATTACGAACATTTCAGAGTCCAACAACCTCTATTTCCATGGTGTTTGTAACTCTGAGGTTCTACTGTATCTTTATTGAATTTAATCTTGTTGAATTCAAACCAATTCTCCAATTTGTCATGGTCATTTTGAATTCTAATCCTGTCCTCCAAAGTGCTTGCAACCCCTGCCAACTTGGTGTCATCTGCAAATTTTATAAGCACACTCTTCACTCCATTATCCAAGTTATTAATGAAAATATTGACTAGTACCTGACCCAAGACGGACCCTGGTGTGACTCCTCCAGATACAGCCTCCCAGGTTGACAGGGAATCATTGATAACTACTCTTTGAGTAAAAAGAAAAGGAGTACTTGTGGCACCTTAGAGACTAACCAATTTATTTGAGCATGAGCTTTCGTGAGCCACAGCTCACTTCATCAGATGTGATGAAGTGAGCTGTGGCTCACGAAAGCTCATGCTCAAATAAATTGGTTAGTCTCTAAGGTGCCACAAGTACTCCTTTTCTTTTTGCGAATACAGACTAACACGGCTGTTCCTCTGAAACTACTCTTTGAGTACAATCTTTCAACTTGCTGTGCACCCACTTTATAGTAATTTCCTCTAGACTACATTTGCCAAGTTTGCTTACGAGAATGTCACGTAGAACTGTATCAAAATCCTTACTACAAATCAAGATATATATGACATCTACTGCTTCTCCGCATCCACTGAGCCAGCAATGTTGTTAAAGAAAGAAATTAGGTTCATTTGGCATGGTTTGTTCTTGACAAATCCATGCGGGCTATTTCTTATAATCCTATTATCTTCCAGGTGCTTACAAATCAATTGTTTAAGGTACCAGGTACCAAAGTTAGCTGACTGGTCTATAATTCCCCAGGTCCTCTGAGGTACTATATTTGTCTTTCTCCCGTCCTCTAGGACCGTTCCATCCTCCAGGAGTTCTCGAAGATAATAGTTAATGGTTCTGAGATTGCTTCAGCTAGTTCCTTAAGTACCCTAGGATGAGTTTCATCAGGGCCTGTTGACTTGGATAAATCTATCTTATCTAAATATCCTTTAACCTATTCTTTCCCTATTTTGGCTTGCATTCCCCCTTGTTGTTAATATTAATTGTGTTGAGTATGTGGTCACCATTAACCATTTTAGTGAAGACTGAAGAAAATGGGCATTTAACACCTCCTCTTTTTCGATCAGTTATTAGTTCTCCTTCCCTGCTAAGTAAAGGACTCATGCTTTCCTTCGTCTTCCTCTAGCTCCATATGTATTTAAAGAACCTCTTCTTATTGGCTTTTATGTCTGTTGCTAGGTGTAACTCATTTTGTGTCTTGACCTTTCTGGTTTTGTTCCTAAATACTTCTGCTGTTCTTTTGTACTCCTCCTTAGCAATTTGTCCATGTTTCCACTCTTTGTAGGATTCCTTTTTGATTTTCAGGCCATTAAATAGCTCCTGATGGAGCCATAGTGGCCTCTTACTATTCTTCCTATCTTTGCTTCCCATCACGATAGTTTGCAGTTCTGCCTTTAATATATACAAGGCACTCAGATATTATGGTGATGATCATGGTATTAGAATCTAAATAGAATAAGCTCATAAGAGGTTATTTTGTTACGTGGAGAAAGAAGAGGTACATAGGTTGTGGAGCGGGAGGGGGTGAGTCCCAAAACTAGAGAGGATGAGGACTTGGAAGATCCAGAGTTCAGTTCCTGGAGGTCACAAGCTTCCTGTGTGACTATGGGCAGGTCACTAGTCTCCCTGTGCCTAAATTCTCCACCTATAAAATGAAGATAGAATCATAGAATATCAGGGTTGGAAGGGACCTCAGGAGGTCATCTAGTCCAACCCCCTGCTCAAAGCAGGACCAATCCCCAATTAAATCATCCCAGCCAGGGCTTTGTCAAGCCTGACCTTAAAAACACTTATAATGCTTTCCTTTTTCAGAAGGGTGTTGTGAGAATAAATCCATAAAGGGAGGTGCTCAGATATTATGATTTGGGCGACCCTATATTGAGTAATACACAATTCATGTTTTTATGACATTAGAAGACTGACCTACTTCTTTGAGTGAAATTTGCGGCCTCCTTCATCCATCATGTAGACGAATCCCTTGTTTATTTTTATAGAAAATAACAGTATAAGTATCTAAACCTCTCCAAGATCTTCTTGTAGTCATGATCCTAGCCAATTTTTTGCTCTGCTAATGCTTTGGAGACAATCAAAATTTTTCTAAATGACCACAGTATAATACTTGATATTTCTCTTCAATATTTGTTTAGAAATATTCATACTCTTCACTTGGCCTGGCACTTAGTTATTGCTATTGATTAAAACACATTTTCCAGAAATATTTCTGTCTCCTTTGGAATGACCATCTCACTGCTGTGTTCTGTTCAGAGACCTACAGGTAAAATAGCTATTTGATGGACCTCTGAACAGGTGCATAATAATTTGAATCCCATTCTTAGTGATAGTTACTATCTGAACCAGTGGTTCTCAACCTTTCCAGATTAATGTACCCTTTTCAGGAGGCCGATTTGTTTTGCATACCCCCAAGTTTCACCTCACTTAAAAACTACTTGCTGATAAAAATCAGACATAAAAATACAAGTGTTCCAGCACACTATTACTGAAAAATTGCTTGCTTTCTCATTTTTACTATATAATTATAAAATAAATCAATTGGAATATAAATATTGTACTTACATTTCAGTGTACAGGATATAGAGCAGCATAAACAAGTCATTGTCTGTATGAAATTTTAGTTCGTACTGACTTCACTAGTGCTTTTTATGTAGTTGCAAACCTAGACAAATATCTGCTCCCTAAAGAGGAGGCAAAACTCAGCCCACCTT